CTTATTTAGAGTACCCGAAATCTGGGCCTGAAGGATTAATTGTACCTGGTGAAGAACTAGTCCCTCGAATGATCAATCATGGACCACACAAGTTTGATAGGGTTCATATATGGCGCCTAGCTTGGTCATGGAAAAATAGTAATACCCTGACCTTCAAGGCATTGCTTAATGTCTTGGGCTGAATGAGCAAGAGCCCCATCTTGAATGAAACACTGCCTTGTCTCGTAAGCTGGTGATTGTTGTAAACAGGTAAAAGGCCTTGCTTGAAAGTTGTGATGTATTTTGTCATGAATTGAAAATGGTTAAACAGAAATTTCTCAGCAGATAGATAACAAAATCCAATTGTGCCCCTGTCTGAGAATTGTGAGGTAATGACCAGACGGGACTTTCCATGCATACTACCATCCAGCTGCCAAAAAGTCAGCACACACCACAATAGAAATGCTGTTTTACCCTATCATGGCTTTCTGATTGATCTTGAGAGGATAGTCGTCAAATCCAGGAATATCCAATGTCCAAGAATTGTGCAAATCCTGACCCCTCACAAAAAAACATTACATTGCCCCAAAGAGCAGGAGGGTGTGATATCACCTGTAATGCCCATTTTTTGGTATACAATATTGCCTGGGTGAGTAGTGGCTTCCATCTAGCTGCTCTATCATTGCAGTAATTCTATGAAGATAAACCCTAACAACATTTGGCAGACTTGCACCTGTCCTTCACCAGTTGCGGCAACTGAACTTGGATAGTTCTCAAAACATTTCTCAACATTCTTTCTACATTAATGTTATGTGGGTTAATCGTCACCGTAAAACTATTCTTTCTACATTAATACTCTGAGGGTTAATCGTCATTGTGAAACTATTCTTTCTACATTAATGCTTTGTGAGTTAATCGGCGTGTAAAACCATTCTTTCTACATTAGTACTTTGTGGATTATTCGTCTCTGTAAATCTACTGTTCTATGTTTATACTCTGAGGGTTAATTGTTACTGTAAAACCAGTTCTTCAACAATATACTCTATGAGTTAATCGTCGCTGTAAAACCATTCTTTCTACGTTAATACTCTATGGGTTAATCGTGACTCAAAACAATTCTTTCTTCATTAATATTCTTTTGGTTAATCGTCGCTGTAAAACTATTCGTTTTACGTTATTACTCTGTGGGTTAATGGTCATTGTAAAACCATTCTTTCTAACGTAGTACTTTGCGTGTTAATTGTTACTGTAATACCATTATTTTTACATTAACTCTTTGTGGATTAGTTGTCTCTGTAAATCTGTTCTTTCTACATTGGTACTCTGTCGGTTAATCGTTACTGTAAAGCCATTCTTTCTACGTTAATAATCTGAGGGTTATTGGTCTCTGTATATCTATTTTTTCTACATTAATTCTTTGTGAGTTAATCGTGAGTTAATTCTTTTTACATGAACTCTTTATGGATTATTTGTCTCTGTAAATCTGTTCTTTCTGCATTGGTACTATGTGTGTTAATCGTTACTGTAAAATCATTATTTCTACTTAATACTCATAAAGTTAATGGTCTCTGTAAATGTATTATTTCTACATTAGTACTCTGTGAGTTAATCGTGTCTGTAAAAGTACCTTTTCTTCATTATTATTCTGTGTTAGTCGTTACTGTAGATCCATTCGTTCTCAATTAATACTCTCTTTATTAATTGTCTCAGTAAAACTATTATTTCTACATTGGTGCTCTGGGGTTAATCGTTGCTATAAAATATTTATTTCTATATTAATACTCTGTGGGTTTATCGTTGCTATAAAATATTTATTTCTATATTAATACTCTGTGGGTTTATCGTCACTGTAAAAGTATTCTCTCTACGTTAATAAAATGTGGGTTAAACGTTACATTAAAACCATTGTTTATACATTAATACTCTAGGGGTTCAACCCCTAGAGTACTAATGTAGAAAGAAGAGTTTTACAGGAACGATTAAACTACAAAGTACTAATGTAGAAAGAATGATTTTATAGTGATGATTATCGTAATTATAAAATTATTCTTTCTAGATTAATATTATGTTGGTAATTCGTCACTCTAAAGCTATTCTTTGTACGTTAATTCTTTGTGGGTTAATCATCTCTGTAAAAACATTCTTTCTATATTAATACTCCGTGGGTTAGTTGTCAGGCAAAACTATCCTGTCTATGTTAGTACTATGTGGGTAATTATTACTATAAAACCATGCTTTCTAGATTAATACTCTGTGGGTTAATCGTCACTGCCAAACAATTATTTCTATATTAATAACCTGAGGGTTAATCGTCTCTGTAAATCTATTCTTTCTAGATTAATTTTATATGAGTTAATCGTCATATCAAATTATTCTTTCTACATTAGTACTGTGTTGGTTAATTCATAATTGTAAAAATATTCTTTCTACATTCATACTCTGCTGATCGTCATGGTGAAACCATTCTTTCTAAAGTAGCATTCTGTGTGTTCGTCGTTACTGTAAAAACGTTCTTTCTACATTAGTACTTTTTTGGCAAATCGTCACTGTAAAACTATTCTTCTTACATTAATACTCTGTGGGGTTTTCGTCACTGTAAAACTATTCTTTCTGCATTAGTACTCTGTGAGGTTTTTGTCACTGTAAAACTATTCTTCTTACATTAATACTCTGTGGGATTTTCGTCACTGTAAAACTATTCTTCTTACATTAGTACTCTGTGGGATTTTCGTCACTGTAAAACTATTCTTTCTGCATTAGTACTCTGTGAGGTTTTCGTCACTGTAAACTGTTCTTCTTACATTAATACTCTGTGGGGTTTTCGTCACTGTAAAACTATTCTTTCTGCATTAGTACTCTGTAGGTTTTCGTCACTGTAAAACTATTCTTTCTACATTAGTACTCTGTGAGGTTTTCGTCACTGTAAAACTATTCTTCTTACATTAATACTCTGCGGGTTAATCGTTACTGGAAAACCTTTATTTCTACGTTAATACTGTGTGGATTAATTGTTAAAAAGTTATTTCTACCCGAATACCCTTCGACAGCTAAATGCCATTGTACAACAATTCTCTACATGAATAAAAAGCGAACCAATCCTGTTGATAAACATAATCTATGTAGTCTAAAGTGATACTGAAACGATCTTCAACATACACAATACTCATAAATGTTTTATACATTGAAGTGCAAAAATCTCAATATTCAAAACCGCTGAGAAATCTGAAATACCTGTGACGCTTCTTTATACATAAACTCTGGAAGTGATTATGAAAAAATCTCTATACGTATACTTTGAACGGCTGAAACAAAAGTGTGAAACATTTTTCAATACATATACTGCACGGTGTTATGCAGCATAAAAAACGAAAGGAACTTTTCTGTTAAGCTTGGGAGTTAGACATAAATGCCTAATAGCATGAGAGCGTTTAAAAAGGTGTGAAAGAATTATCGTACCTGTGAAGTACAACATAAGTGAACCACACTTTTTTACGCAAACATTCTTAAGGATTACTAGATATATTAAACACATAACAGGCAGAATAAAACACAATAATGGTTTATATCAACGTATTGTGGTAGAAATAACTTAAAAAAGCGTGTTTTCTCTCTGTTTCTCTATATGATATATAAATATTCTAGTATAGGTAACACGAACGTAAGTTTCAGTTCATTCACATGAGTTAAACACACGAACAAAATATGCCTTTTATCATTTTACCATGGAAATGTTATCCTGGGAATGCAATGTATCCTTTATATCTATTTACTCTAGGAAAGTTAACACGGGAATATTCACAAAGGAACTAATTCGTTACATTTTTTACTATGAGAACTAACACAATAAAAAGTAATCTTATATCTATTTACTCTGGAACAGTTAACATGAGAAGATAAAATAACTCTTAATTTTTTCTTTACCCTATGATAACTAATATATATAATACAACAAATAACTGTTTATCTCTATTAAATTTGGAAAAATTAATACGATAATGTAAAAAATTATTTTATTTACCTTTACCCTTTGATAACTAATATATAATACAACAAATAACTGTTTATCTCTATTAAATTTTGAAAAATTAATACGATAATGTAAAAAATTATTTTATTTACCTTTACCCTATGATAACTACAAAAAGTCATTCCATTTTCTTGTGGAAATTTAACAAAGGAATGTACATGAACTCTCTATCTATGATACCCTATGATAATTAATAGAATACAAAAATAGTATTTTCTCCCTATTGAATATGGGAAAGTTAACACGAGAACGTAAAGAAATCTTATATTTGTATTTACTGTATGATAACACAATAAAAATATTCTTTTATAACTAATTAATCTGGTAAAATTAACACGGGAGTAAAAAAAAACTATTTTTATACCTTATGATGACAAACGCAATACACAAGTAAGATTGTATACCTATTTAGTTTGAAAACGTAAATACAGGAAGGAGAAGGAACTCTTTATTTCTTTTTTAGCCTGTGATAATTAACGCAAAACAAATAGTAATTCTTTATACTTTTTATTAAATCTTGGATATTTGATAGGAAATGTAAAGGAACTATTTATTTCTCTTTACCCTAAATTAACTAAGACAAAAAAACAATAACAATCTTTTATACGTATTTACACCACAGGAATTTAAAGAAACTATATTTCTATCTACCCTATGATAACTAACGCAATACAAAGGTAATTTTACTGTGTGAAAGTTAACAGAATGTAAAGGACCTCTTTTTTGTTAAAAAATATTAACAAAGCACAAAAACTTGTTTATTTTTTATATTCTACGCTTGTAAAGTTAATGCATTTCAGAAGAGAAAATATTTCTATCTTTCATTTACATTCGTAAAGTTAATACAAGAACAACAGAATAGAAATCTAGACTATTGAGGTAACATGTCTCGTGTTGCTTTTTTAAACCAATTTTCTTAGTGACACACACAATTGATTAAACAAATATACAACTTAAATGTAAGATAAATAAACATGGAGACTGTTAATCTTGCCTTTCATTTTTCTGTCGTCATCGTCTTCTTCTAGTTTCTTGGTAGCTAAGTCTTCTTCCAATCCTGCAAGATCTGGATGAGAAAGATGGAAGTTACAGAAAATATACTATAAGATGAGTACTTATCGCCTGTAGATTTAGTTGAATTATAAAGTTTTGTTTTGTAGCCTTATTCTTATAGTAATCGAAAAGATCTAAATTATGATAATCTGAGAAAAGAACAATTTACTCTTCGCTTGAGAGTTTTTATGTAAGAAAAAAATAACAACAAAATATGCATGTGTTGATTTTATTTTGTATTAGCAGCAAATGTTTTATTTGGTATCCAGAAGCATTTAGTGAGAAATGTTATAGGCGTGGATATCATTTCTCCATTTTTCAGCACATAGTGTGTAATGTTATCTGAGTGGACATCTTTGCTCCATTTTTCAGCATATAGTGTGTAATGTTATCTGAGTGGACATCTTTGCTCCATTTTTCAGCATATAGTGTGTAATGTTATCTGAGTGGATATCTTTGCTCCATTTTTCAGCACATAGTGTGTAATGTTATCTTCATGGATATCCATGCTCCATTTTTCAGCACATAGTGTGTAATGTTATCTGATGGACATCTTTGCTCCATTTTTCAGCATATAGTGTGTAACGTTATCTTCATGGATATCCATGCTTCATTTTTCAGCACATAGTGTGTAATGTTATCTGCATGGATATCATTACTTCACTTTTCAGTTATGACTGTTATTAAGAAAGATCTCTTGAGCACAGAAGCAAAATTTTGTATTTGTCTGTGAACTATGTTTGTAGTCTTCATGATGAATATAAAGCATAATAAACAACTGTGACAAAATAATTTTACTAAATTAAGTATGCAAGTAGCCTTTCAGTGAGGATGGTTGAGTCATGAGGTTCATTTGGATCTTGGCTGTTTTTGAAACACGTTTTCTCAATCTAATTTTGTACTAAACTCCTTGTTTGTGTATGAATTATTTGGTTACGGGACTACTAATAACATATGAGTTACACAAAAATTTAAGTTAAATACATCATTATTACAATTCATCCAACTAATCATTGCTTGATCTACAATGCATTTTATTTAGAATATGAGCGACTTTGCTCAACGTTGTGATCATTTTGTTAAAAAAAGTGTTGTAACAGGCAAAAACATAAAAAGTATTCAATATGATTTAATATGTGGACCTCGACGATAGCTAATGGCATAAGACATAAAAAATACCCAGTATGATGTAATATGTGGACCTCGACAATAGCTAATGGTATAAAACATAAAAAGTACTCAATATGATGTAATATGTGAACCTCGACAATAGATAATGGTATAAAACATAAAACATAAAAAGTACTCAGTATGATGTAATATGTGGACCTCGACAATAGCTAATGGTATAAAACATAAAAAGTACTCAATATGATGTAATATGTGAACCTCGTCAATAGCTAATGGTATAAAACATAAAAAGTACTCAATATGATGTAATATGTGAACCTCGTCAATAGCTAATG